ATTTATTTCTTCTCTTCCTTCTTTTCAGTGGCAGCAGCCTTTGGTGCGGCTTCCTTTGGTGCAGCAGCAGCTCCCTTCTTTCCTCCCTTCTTTGGCATGTGTATTTAACGAGTGACTAGAAAGATGTAGTATTCCCTTTTATACAATTCACATTTCTGTGGGGGTATGACAGCCATGTTATGTCCTACATAACGGGTGTATTGTGGTGTCAAATAGCAAATCATATCATCGTAAATAGACATCACACAACGATTGATATGCCATAACTCAAAACATCCCACTTTATTACGCATTTTTTGTCTATTTTAGTATAAAATGTTGAAAATTACGCACAGAAATAGAAACTCGGCAGATCACACGATTCTTCACCTTTATTCATCGCCACGTCATTGTTATAAATAGCACACCAAAAATAACACGATGATGTGGCATCAGGAATTCCCGATTATTGGACAAAATACGGGCTGTTGTACCTCACAATAATGATTGCCTCTATAAAAGAAAAGAAAGCATCTTTGTAATCACTCGTTACATACACATGCCAAAGAAGGGAGGAAAGAAGGGGGCTGCTGCTGCACCAAAGGAAGCCGCACCAAAGGCTGCTGCCACTGAGAAGAAGGAAGAGAAGAAATAAGATGCATTCTAATTCATCACTCGTTCAGTATTATGTTTTTTATTGTCTATTATTATTATTATCTGACAGATATAAGAAAAAATGAAATGGTAACTAAGAATATTAATTTTAACTTAAATTTTTCATAGTCCAAATTCAAAACAAAGTCTACAAATTTAGTTTCTTTTGTTAACAAAATTTTAGTCTAAAATCACTTAACAAAATATTTTGAGTCTTTTGAAAAAAAACAAAGTGATGAAATTTAAATGAGGTAAAATAACAACCTGTATTTCTAAAATAATTTTGTCATTTTTTTGTTATTTCCACATATCCTATTTTTATCAAGTTATTATTGTTTTTATAAACACATCACATTAAAATAAATAATTAAAAATTTATTATTTAAACCTATACAAACAAATAGTTTGGCAATAGTTAACTTGTTAAACAACAGTTTTGTGTTAATTTTTATAACAACTTTTTCGCATATAACCCGATTTGTATGTTTTAAACACCTTAAAATATTTGAATGTGATGAGGTTTTTGGAATGACGATGTTCCACATGTCCACTTCATTTTATATTGTTTGCAAACAACTAATAACATTAAGATACAATATAGTTAATATATAGTTTTGTAATTATAAAATACACATATAGGCAAAGTCACATTGCCATACATATCGCCTCACAAAATGAAATAGACGTCAAGAAAAACACTATAAAAGCGAACCCTACGACTTACAATACAGTCCCTGGTGTTTCCCCAGGTGAATGTGTTTGGGTATGGCGCTTGTGAGCAACAACTATCGAATATGACATCCCACAAATGTGTTTCAATCAATGACATTTTACATCATCAAATTGTGTCATGATGTAACGTTTTTTATTTTTTAACGTGTTATTCAAATTCATTTTTTCGTTCAACTTGTGTTTATCAACTCGAGTTATTTTACGTTTTAATTAACTTTTCTGTGTTTTTATTTTTGAACTTGAAGTATTAATAATTAATATATTTATAATAAATTAATAATATTAATTATTTACAAAGTCATATTAAAATACTATAATTCTCTATAATAAAAATTATATATGTTTTGAATAAACTATAATACTTGTTTATTTGGACTACTTAATTAGTTTATAACATCGTATCTGTTATACATTTATTATTTGAATAGATTCATTTTAATACAATGGTTAAATAACAATAAATAATTATAAAAAACATTGAATTCACACTTTTTGTTCCCGCCACTTGGTAGCGGGTTAATTTTTAGTTTTAATTTAATTAATTTTATAACTAATTATATATTTAATTAAATATAATAATAATATTTTATATATTATTATATAAATGAAGATAAAATAAAAATATTATTGATATGGCACAATTTGATTATTCACAAAGAATGAATACAAAACAGTAAATCAGAGAGAGGCACATGTACTCTTCTCTATTGTCAGAGTCATAATCGTTGGATCGTTTGCCTCAATACAAATCTCCTTTTTACCGAAGAGTCTGGCATCGATTTCGTCAAGCACCTCCTTCCCAAGGTCGATCATTTCTTCGTGGTGCAAAAACAACATTCCCTCAAGAAAAATTGTTGTAATTCTTTCCATCCTGAGAGTCTTTTTAGTCTTTCTCGACAGTGTTGAGTTAAAGAAAAATCCCTTCTCGAGCAATAAATCAAACATCATGTTGTGGACGAATGTTTTTCTGTTTTTCTCTAACCTTCTCATAGCACTGTCCCTTTTCATTCCGTTTTGCAAATCGGCGTCGAAAAGGTTTTTGCTATAATCCTGTGCCAGTTTGAAGAGGTTGATTTCCCCTTCGGGGAAGAGTAATTTTTTGACTTGTGGCTGTGGTACTGTCAACGACGGGACTTTGCGAGACTTGGCAATGACCACCCCACAAAACGAGTTCAACAGTGACACAAGGACAAAAGTTTGAAACGTCTCCATGTCCTGTTTGTCACGTTTATTTTGCATGTACTTTTGTTGTTCGGCCCGAGGAACCCGGACAGAGCTTCTTCGTCTGTTCATTTTACTCTCTCACGCCTTCCATTTTTTCGCGCTTATATGTCTGCTCGTTCTACACTTCGTTATCATCAATCTCAAAAAAATGAAAAAAAGAAATTTTTTATAGTTTTTTTTTAATTAATAAAACCTACTAAATAATAATTACAATATAATTACACTTAAACTATTATAAAACGAAAAAAGTGAAAAAAATTCAAGTAATTTAACTTTTAATAATTTCAAGTAAAATAAATTATAAAAACTATACATAATTATTCAATTTCATTCGATATTATCATTTGATTAACTATTTATACTATTTAATATTATACCATTTTATTTGATAATTCAAATATCATCACAAAATAACAACAAATATTTTCCACAAATCTCTTCACAACGCCGTTAAGTTTCACATTTGCGAAAATTCTGTTTTTCTGAAACTTCCTTTAAATAAACGAAAAATAAATAAAAAAAAATTTCGTAACGATTAAAGGCACAATGGATTTCTTAGATCCAGCATCCCCCAAACCGAAAAAGAACATCACAACACTTCCCGACAAAACAACATTAGACGTCAAATGTAAAGACATAATCGAACATTGGGGAGTCATTTGGGACAACTTTGAACGGATTTTATCGACTCGAAAGGACTCTCCATTACTCACTGTTCCCTGGAAATATAACGATCAAAATTTTCAGTTATCCCATCCGAGTTCCCACGTCGCCTCTTTTAATATCAAATTATTTCCCGATTACTTTAATAAACAATTGCACATTGTTTATAACAATCCTGTGTTACCTATTAAACATTCCCAAGTCCTAGTAGAGAAATATTGTATGAACCAATACCTCCACTTGATACCCATTAAATCACAATACACCTTAATTGATACCAAGTCGAGGTCTTCGAAACTTCCCGGCTATTATATCTTCAATTATGGGACTTTTAAAAGTGAAAGAGTGATGTATGATGATATAGTAGTTACTGTCCATGTTCCTTGTATGGTCAAATTCTCGGGAATTACTTACCCCATTTTGTCAATGTCTTTTGCGTTTGTGATTCCTTCGGACTTAGACGTGACGACTAACACATTTTTGTGGGACGTCTTTTTGGACTCACTCAATTTGATCTTCTTTGAATTCCAAGTCACTCACTTCGAAGAAAAAGGAAAGAACAAAGAAAGCTATCAATTACTCGCCAAAAAGCTCTCGGATGTAATAAACAAATTTGACGAGTATATGTTGGCGATGACCACCGCAATTAAAAAGAAGGAAATCAACGAAATTTGGACCAACAAAAAATACGTCCAAAAAATCATTGAAAATCACTTGGTCTCCACTTACACACTAATCGTCTCAGATAACTTGCCTGACGCTTATTTCGCTTATAACATCTGCTCTTCATTGGACGCACCAGACTTATTTAATCAACCACTGACCTCCCCTATCACTCCTAAAATACTTAACGTCCCAAACCCTTTCTTTAGAACTATGTGTTTGACATCTTTCTCAGGAGAGTACTTCTTTAGTCTCCCTTTTCCGTATTGCGTCATATCGACGGCAGAACAAAGTGTCTCAAGAATATCAGCACAAAGCACCTTCCTCTACTTCATCAAGAGAACTAACTACTTGCTCCTCTTCGCTTCGAAGAAACTCGGGGTCACCGGGTTTGTCCCTTCTATACAGTTGAAGGAAGAATTGGTCAACCCTAATGAGTCTAATTTGTTAACCCCTTACAGTCATATCTTCGAGGTCGTTGACCACAACATCTTGGAATTGTTTTTGTTCAAAATATGCGACTTGTTGGTACTCAAAGCTAGGACCATCGTCGGAATGATCACACAGAAGGAAATAGTCCAAAGGAAGATCGAGAATAGTAAGACTAAAGAAATCAAAAATATGATCCAGACAGACGACGAAGGAATAAAGATCATCCTCGGACTCTGGAAATTCACAGACCCTATTGCAGTAGCTATGGTAACACAGAACGTCGAGGAGAAGTAAGGCGCATCATGTATTTATTTGTCATGTATTTATGTTTTAAGTATAGTTTTATTATAGTTATTTTACTATATTGGTATGGTTTTGTATTTCCTTTCAGAATTGCTTCTAATATTGAATTATAGTAGATTATTAATAATAATAGTAATAGTATAAACTATTGGAAAGTAAAATATTATAGTTAAATATACCTTTGAAATAACAATAACTAGTTGACTAGAATTTACTATAGACAAACTATAAAATAACTAAAAAATTAACAACTAATAAAAGTAATGCAATTTGACCTGAAGGAAAGTCTGATAGAGAGCGAAGTGGTGAAACGTGGGTGTAAACGAGTTGTCTTGCAATTTCCAGAAGGGCTCATAGCACAGGGAGTGCAATTGCAGCAACGACTTGAAGCAAAGTTGAAAGACGTTGAGTTCATACTCTATACAGACTATGTCTATGGTGCTTGCTGTGTGGATGACCGATTCACATCGTATATTAAAGCAGACTTTTTGGTCCATTTTGGACATTCTCCACTCAGTTTGTTTTTTTGTCTAGAAGCTTGATGTCTTGTTTTCATTGTTATTTTATCATATTCTTCTATAGTTTTTTTTAATATATTTTACTATTATTTTTTAAATTTGAAATGCATTCTATTTTTGGAGGTTCTGGTTATTTTAATCACCAAATCTATAAGTGTGGTTTTTTATATTATAATTTAACTACAAATAGATAGAAAAGGAAAACTCAAAGAAAGTCCCTCCAGAGTGTTTGAAGGTCGCAAGCATATACATTCCTGTTGTAGCAGAGATCAAGCTTGAGCCTTTGGTTGAGAAGATCAATCAAATGGTAGACAAGAAATTGAGTTTGTCCATAGTAGCAACCATTCAATATGAACCCTACCTGTCACAACTCAAAACGTTGTTGAAGGACTTTGACATCATCATACCAAAAATTGATCCACTTCCTGAAGGGATCACTTTGGGGTGTACAGTCCCTCCTCTTGGAGATAAGAAGATTAGTGTAGTTTTTATTGGAGGCGGACTCTTCCATGCAGAGGCCGTTGCATACAACTATCCAGATAACAAAGTTTACTCCTACGACCCTCGCAATGAAACTTTAGTCCCTGTTTCTGTTGATAAAGAGAAGTTCTCGAGTGTAATGCGGTTTGTTAACTATATATTTACTATATATTCCTATATATTCCTATATATAGTAAATAATAATTCTTAATATTTCCTATATAGAATTACTGGTATTATATCATATAATACCTATTCTATATATAATATAGATCAAATAATTATAAATTATTAAATAGAAATCATAAACTATAAATTATAATTAATAAATAGAAAGAAAATTGACATTGCTCGACAACAGAAGTACATTGGCATCATTACATCGACACTTGGGAGACAAGGCAATCCAAAAGTAACCGAAAACGTAAAAGCACTGGTCGAATCCAAAGGTCTAATTCCTGTGTTATGTTACGCAGATGAAATATCGACAAGTCTCCTTGAGAGTTACAAAGAAGTCCAAGTCTGGATACAAGTCGCTTGTCCCCGTCTCAGTATCGATTGGGGCGATAATTACAGACAAGTATTGATGACCCCATACGAAGCTTTCTTAGCATTTGGCAACCCATGTGAAAGTAAATTGGATTATATTCCAATGGACAATTGGGCCATTCCTGCGCCCGAAAAATGGTGCGCTTCAGTTTATTGATTTCATTGACTTTGGATACTAGTTTCTATTTATTTTACTTACAAGTACTAGATTTGATAAACTATCCTCTAATTATAAAGTCTTAAACCAAAACCATAAATAAGCTATATTCCCAAATTGATTGAAGAAAGTATCATCGAGTAGTAAAGAATGTGTCTTCAGGGTTGTAGAGTTGCGCGAGTAATCTGTAGATGTAAGAAGGAGGAACACCATTCCTGTGAATTAGTAAATAAAATATAATAATATAATAATAAAATTACAATAATACAATAATACAATAATACAATAATACAATAATATAATAATATAATAATATAATAATATAATAATATAATAATATAATAATATAATAATATAATAATATAATAATACTAATAAATATAATTATAGTATAGTAATTACCATATAATAAAATATAGTATAAATTTATTAAAAAAGAGTGGAACAAACTCATTGGTGATAAACAGATTAATCCAATCTGGCGATATATATTCGAACGTTGAGTTAATCACACGGGTGTACTTTGCCTCTTCGATTTGGTAACTACTTTTGTCTGCGGTTTCTTCGTCACTTTTTCTGTCGAGTAACAACTCGAGTCCAGTTTGGGTTGATTGTATTGAAGGTTTTGATAATACAGCGGGCATGATTGGTAGTGGTGATTGTATCAACGCGAAGTCTGTGTCGTTTGTTGGGAATATTGGGGAGATCTTAAAAGTCCCGGTACAGACATAGACGGGGACTCGGAAGTGTGTCGCAACACAACACAAATTGAACGCACCAGCAGCTGCAATGAGACCTCCATTAGCCAAAACCGTATGGCACCCCAACACAATTTTGTTGACATGTGGTAATACCGAGAAGAGTGCAGACTCGGGGAATAAATCAGCTTTGATGCCTCTATTCTGTAATTCTAAAACTATCTCTTCACCATCTTTGCGTTGTAAACTATCCACTACTATCACATAAAACGTCCGAACAGTTTTCGCTCCGGCAATGAACTCTAAGACTGTCTTGGATTTCCCAAATAATAAGACAACATCACTCCATATTAATACTATTCTTATTACTATTCTTATTAATAAAATCTTTACAGACATAAACCATCCAATTCTGGTTTTTTTTATTATAAATAAACTAGAATGCTATCAAAGAAAAAGAAGAACAAACTTGTCGTTGATATACGCCTCGCCTTGCTCCGCTATACTTTTATATAACGTCTTGAGCTCAGTCTGATATTCTTTAAGCGATTCAATGAGTTCCTTCTTGAACTTTTTCATGTCGACGTTACTGATGGACGGGGACTCGGAAACAAGTCGGTGTAATTCGTTCGACTGGACGTCAAACTCGACATTGGATAGACTTCGCTCCACCTCACGAACAATAAACATCACGCGGCGGACAATGTTCACCGTCGAGAATTCTATCTTGGAACCTCGTTGGAGATATTTCCCCATACCCTGAAGTACTGACATTAACTCGGACGGTCGTTCAAAGTCTTCTTTCTTCACCAATTTCATGATTTGCGCTAATATCGGGTTAGCAGACTGGAACGCACCATATATAATTCTACACATGACTTCTAATTGCTATCCAGTATTATTCGTTATAATTATTTTACTATTAAAGTATAGTACATTTGATATATAAGAATAACAAACCCTCGTCGCATTCTTTGGAGAATCTCTTCAAGCTCATCAAATGTTGCCTGGTAGCGCTGCATTAACTGTACATTTGGAGATCTTTCATTCAGATGCTTTTTTAAATACCTTTGAAAATGAATTAAATGTTATATAAATGTTATATAAAATGTTATTCAAATATTATTAGATTGTTATTGTGGCCATTAAACACAATTAATTTATTTCACACGACCACAAAAGAAACTCAAAAAGACCAAGATGGACACACCAGACATTCACAGCTTTGTTGAGCTACTCATAAATATGATTAAGTTTGAATGTTATAAAATATGGTTAATAGACAATAAAGTAAATATTTTGAATGACAAACAGACCGACGGACCCCAATGCGTTTTACAACGAATTTCTGAACGAGTCGATTGAAACGTTAAAGAACATCATGAGCATCGACGCACAAGAATCTGTCAAAGTCCTCAAAACGGATATTTTATATTACAAAAGAACAATAGAAGAGTTAAGTGCAAAGCTACAAACTTCATCAAAAGATCAACAACTTCACATAGTCAAAGAAATTAACCAGAAAACTATGGACTTTGTCTCTGTGTTAAAAAATTTCTCCGATTCATTAAACGCAGAAGAGGTCTCTTTATTCCCTGACGACGTCGCTCGGTTGAGAGACCAAATCCTTGTCGACTTGGAAGATGTTGAGTAACTTTGTTTCATTTTACTACTAATTTATAATAAAATATATTAAATTATTAAATTAAATTATTAAAGATAAACAATGTTTTCCTTTTTGATGACTTGTGCTATCTTCTTAACATCTTCCACCTCATTTACTTTAACTTTGTCACACATGTAAGATGTTGTAATACCATGGGAGAGGTCACCCAAATTAGTGAAAGTCAAATAACAAGATCCCTTTCCTTTAAATGAAAAGGAAACCTTCTCAGAGACTTGAAAAGAAAGTGTAGTCATTCCAGGGTTAACCATCCGGCAGATGCGTTTGGGAACATCACCAGGACGGTTGACGAATAAAACCATTTCGTTCTCTCCAGTGTATGACACTGTGTCCAACTGATATGTGTCTGTCGTTGTCGGAAGGAGGTATAGCATCCCAGGTTTCAGAGTCACATACAACTTATCCATTGTGGGGTTTACTATTCTTTTTAGTTTATACAAGAGGAGTATGGTAATATACTATTACTTCTTATTTTAAATTAGTAATATATGGTACATAATTATTTCAAATAATTAATTTAATAAATTTAATTAATTAAATATAATTAATCCAAAATACATGTATTAATAATAAACCAGTAAAGTATAGTTTTTAATGCCTACCAAGACCGATATGTAAAAAATCAAAAAAATCAAGTTAAACACTGAAAGTCACTTCATCGGAGTTTGAAGATACTGTTGATGTGTCTTTCTCTGTTGTTTCCTTGTTCTTCAATTTCTTTCTCTCTTTCTTCTCGCGTTTTTCGTCTTTCGCGCGCTTCTTCTTTTCTTTGATCTCGTTTGCTTCATTCTTGATAGACTCTTTGCATACTTTCCAGTTGGACTTCCACTCGGATTTGACTTGGTCTTTCTTCTTTTTAAATGTTTCCAGCCGCTGTTTGTGGATTTCTTTCAGCTTATCTAACGTGTCGTTCTGTTTTTTCTCAAAAGATTCAAAAGATTGACTCAAACTGTGTTTTTTCTTCTGAGATTTTCGTGGTGACGGAACGACCGGGTCAAGCACAACGTCCGTCGAAAAAGAAAAGTCTTTGCCTTTGAGGGCAGCTTGCCGTAAGCACGTTTTCAAGTTCTCATTTTTCAATCTCTTTTCTCTCAACTCGATGTTTGCCAGAACGACCTGTTGTCTTAAGGAGTAAAATTGGTCCTCGTAATTGTCAGACCTTGCCAACATCTTATAAAGGCTGACATAATAATCGTGGACAAAGTGTTGAAACGTCCCAATAAGCTTCTCGTAAACCAAATAATCGTCGATGTTACTTCTTTCAAACTCCAATGCCTGATATAACTTGAACACAACATCGGACGGAACATCCTTCTTCATTGGAAGGGAATTCGTTTTCATGAGAACAATCATCTCCGTGATAACGTCGTCTTTCGGTGTTTTAAAATCGTCTTTGACGTCGACCAATTTCATCAAGTTCGAGTAAAGCTCACGATTGTCGACATCTGCGCCCTTTAGACTGTTAGTGAGTTGTTTTGCGATGTAGTCGGAGTCTTCTGATTTATCGCAGAATATGCGAGGAGTCAAGTTGACGATGAAGGCAATCTTTTTCTCATAGTTTTTTAGGCTTGGTTTTTCTTTAAAGATAATATCAAGGAAGTCACGGTCTTTAATAAGTCGAGTAAATCCGTTGCGTACCATTGTGTTGAAAAGACGAAGACATATGATATTTTCACTGTCCTGCACTAATGTATTAACTTTCTCAAAAATGGTTTTTAAAACAGAAATAAGGATTGGTGGAAACGATGCGTTCACTGAATTTCTGAAGTCCAATCCCTTTTTGATAATGGTAGACAAATTGCACAACGATTGGTTGTACTTCTTTAAGTTTTCATCGGAAATGTCGGAACTATATGTCGTCAAGATGTCGATATCAATCTGGTCAAATAAACTTTCTTGTGACGCCATAAATTCAATGACCTGAGAATAAAATTCGTTGAAAAACGTTTTACAAAAAGAATAGAAGAAAGTCGTGAAAAAGCCATCGTCGCTAAACAAGAGTTCGCCTTTATCTATATCGTCAATTCTTTCCATGTGATATCAAGAACGAACCATTGATCATAATTTGTCGACGAAAAGCCCACCAAAAGAGCTGAGGAAGTTTTCCATGAAGTCGGTAATAGTCGGTGACAATCTTTGCGTTTCGTAAGCATTCTTTGTCTTCAATGTTGTAAATGAGCTATATATTAAATATTGTTAGTTATTTTACTATAAATGTGGATCTCAAACGTTAGAACAAATGGCGTAAAGAACACCTGAGTCGTCATTAAAAAGAACAGAGTTAAATGTGTCTAAGTCAAACATTAAATGACTGAGTAAGATTGTTTTTGATTTCTGTTTTAAATAAAAATGGCTTCTATTAATAATTCTATTTTATAATTTTTGAAATAATTAACATCGTTGAATCGTTAAATGTTGTTCAGTTTATTGACACTTTTTTTAACATAATTATTCATGGTTATTTTATTTTATTATTAATTATTAATTATTTGTTTGGTTTATTATTTAAATATGTTCAATTATTATTATAATACTTCATCAAAAACTGCTTAGTTTTTTCAATTCAAAAAAGGAATATTTATAATTATTTACTATTGAAGTAATAATTTATTATCATATAAAAAAATGTTGTTTAATTTTTTGATTTATAATTTGTAATAATTGTATAACAATTTCAATGATACTATTTTACAATTAAATAACTAAAAAAATTAACTTTTATCTTAAGAGATCAAATTGTGTATATAAAGAAAAAAATGGACACAAGAAAAAATTAAACTATAAAATTAACTACAATTGTTATCTATTTTTAGTTTTACTTATTTTTTCTTTTTCTTTTTATCGTCTTGTGATTGGTTCTTCTCCTCCTTTTCTTTCTTTTCTTTTTTTCCTTCCTCCTTCAGACATTTATCCAAATCATCTCTTGACTGTCTTTTGGTGAATAAATCGACAAGAGACAATCTTCTTTTTCTGTCTTTTTTCAAGGCTATCTCTAGATCAGTGTTTTTGTCTTCTTTAGGTACACCAAAAGGTCTTTCCGCGAAACTTGCCTTCCTTTTCTTTTTGTGGATATCTGGTCTATCTGTAAATGGTTCTGTATCATTGATCTTGACTGATATATTTTTGGGCGGATTAATGGTTAAATTGATGTTCATATTTAACTTCTTCTCTACCATAATTTTCTTTTGTTCGGGAATTGTAACATTCGTCGATTTCATCCCTTTCTCTTGCCTCAAAGCATTCAGTCGTTCCGCCAATTGCCTGTTTGTCTCTTTTTTATTTGCATAAAGCGTTTTAAATACCTCAATCTTGTCCTGTTGATTTCTATACTCCGCAACTTTTCCTATTTTTTCTTCGTTGACTTTCTCAAAAAACGAAACATAATCTCCAAAAACCTTCTCTAGTTTTCGAAATAAAAATTGTAAGGATGATTCGTCAGCACTCGCAAACGTCAAATCTCCAAGTGAAGTCAACACTCTCTCTTTGACTTCTGGAGACAGGCATTTTTTAAGAGTGATAAAATGGCAACGGAGGAGGAACGTGAGATTGCTGCCCATTCCACTCTCGCGATCTCTCTCCCTCTCATTTTTGAATATTTGAAGGATCTCGGAAAAATCAGTCTTATCAAGCACATCATCGACGCCCACAACTGTCCCAAGCCGTTTCTCCACCTCTTTCAGGAACAACAAATCCTCGCCTTTGTTCAAATAAAATAAAGTCCGACCAAGTAGTTCGATACCATCACACTCCTTTGCCGTTTGTTGATTTGTCATGAATGATCGGAGGATCTCTTTGTTTTTCAAACACCTCGCAAACCCATCTAAGATTAGTCGGGTTATGAAAAAGTCGTTTTTCTCTTTGCAATTTGCCTTTTTGATCTTTTTGAGGGAGCCCACATATTCGTCTGGAAATTGTTTGATGTTAGAACGTATCGAATCCATCACAACTTTAACGTCTTCTGTTAAAATTTCGACAGTTGTTTGAAAGCTTTTGGCTGAGAGCTCGTCGAGGTACGACGGGTTGATTGAAAGGATTGAAGCGTCCAATTCCATCAATCTTCCCTTTTGGAGTAATGACTTAATTGTGTCTTTGATAATCGGGAAGCAGAGTTTAGCGAAGTATGAAGTGTTTAAAGTTGAAAAGAAAAATTCATTGGAATTGATTTGAGCTATGGTTGAGTGTTTTGTGTGAGTTTTTCTATCATAAAAGTAATGATATTTATAAGACGACAAATATGAAAGCAAACAAGTGTTATTTTGGTTTTGATAAGTCCACATGAACAAATTTTCGATTTTATTAAAGGTCTGGAAGTGTGAAATCAATAGATTTGCGTTGTCAAGACAGTAAGTGTCGTCAGGGTCGTATATCAACTTTGTATGAGTTTTATAAAATGAGTTGAAAACACAAACATTAGAAAAAATTGCATAGAGTAAGTGTGAATTATTATCAAAAAGAATAGTGTTAAATTCTTTTGTGTTAGTCATTTGATTTTTTAGTTGACTAATCTATTCAAAACCGGACTTATAATTCACTTCAGTTGTTTCTGTTCATTTTCAAGTCGACTAATTTTAATTTTGGTGCTGAGAGAAAGAAAAGTAGTACAAGAGAAACAATAAAAATACAATAAAATGAGTTAGAAGAACAAATATCAAGGAAACAATTGAAATGGTTATTTGATAATTATTGGAAATCAAAAGCAAAATATAGTTCTCATTTTATAATTAAATAATTATTATTAATGTAATGATATTAGGAATATAATAATTTGAATGATTAAAATAAAATTATTTTATTAAACAATTCATTCTCATTATAAAATAGTTACAAAATAAACACATTTTATACTTAATAACAAAAACAACTATAAATATAGAAAATGCCAAGAAATTGATTAGAACAAGAAGTACCCCATTGCAACAGAAGAGAGTGGAATGAAGACATTGTCGTAATTGGGATACGAATAGAACTCGACAAGAGCACCAACGAAGCCAAAGATCAGACAGTAGAGTGTGTAGTACTCTCCAAAGATCATCTTGCACATCACCATTGAACCAACAGCACCACATACCATCACTGCAATTGCACCTTCAATTGTCTTTTTCTTTCCCCATGGATTCATCACTTCAGTTCGCCCTATCATTTTCCCAATGATCTCAGCCATCCCATCACCCCACAAGAGAAGACCACATCCAATGACTGAAGGCGGATAGTTTCTCCAAAAGACAAGCGAGAGCAGTGAAACAGTCACACAATAATTCAGTGGGCCATACAACATCTCTTTGTAATCCCCATTGCGACAAACAGTCGCTACAAGAAAGTCACAGATCTTACCTTGGAATAAACCAAGTCCAAACACAAGAAAGACTACAACATAGATCAAACAACACATCGTCCCCCAGACACGTGCACTCATTTCATCAGGATACAACCCCCAAAGTGCAAGCTGACACGTCCCAAGTGAAATGTGGACTATTTTTCGCGATGTGTAACTTGTGATGATGTTCAATTTGCTGAGAACAGTCCCTATCAACAGACACACATTGACTCCAACAAAGGACGTCAAAAACAGTGAGAAACTGGTGCTCAACATCGAATGACTCCTTTCAGAGTTCACCCCTCTTATTGGCCGTGTGACGTAGACACCCTGACTCCATCTTAATCAAATATGAATTATTCCTGTGCATTTGTAACTATTTTATTATTTCATAATTAACATTTTTATTAAGAATCAAAGACCCACAACGACGGTCTATTATAGCAATTCCATTCACCAATTTGGTCAGAAATTGGAAAGATCACTTATTCAAGTTCTGTTGTTTTGGTCGTCGACATTTTCACCACTTTTTCACAACTTTATTAATATTACTATAAATATACGATGATATTCGGGACTTTTTGATGGTTTGAGAAAATGGTTTTCAAAATGCAACGGAAGAGGTATCTTTTTCTTCACATTTAAATTTTCATCACACTATTTCTAAGATTAAATCTATTTGTTGTGTGTTGTTCATTTTTCCAAGTCCGTCATTATTATTACAATTCATTTTTTGCAATTGTTCTCCATTAATTCAATTATTTTTTTAAAACCTCACAACAATTATATTACAATTCAACCATTACAAATACTGGAATAAACCAGACACTCCACATAACTACATTTATTTTTTTATTATCGTTTTACCTTTACCATCCAATAACACAATGTAGTATATATACGGTTATCTGTTGGATAACATAATATATTTTACTGTTTTGTTATCTGTAAAACCGTGACACAGTTAGACATTAAAAGTCAACCAATACAATAAGACTCGGCTATATGACAAAAAAGAAATTACATGTGTCGGTTGAATGGCATTAATTAATAATATGAAAAATGTCATTGGATTGAAGTAAAATAAAAGTGTTG